ATATTTGTGTTGACCACAAATGTAGGCACGACACACAAAAACGGTACAACACAGCAGAAATTACACACAGGATTTGGAACCACAACCAATGACTAAAGTAAGTCCTGTTAATATATCCCTTACCCACTCGCATGCAGAGACCGAAAATGTCGATACAAATATCGACGCTGGTATTTTCATTGAAAAACCACAAAATGTGTGAGGATACAAGGATACTTAAAGCGCCGCGTGTTTGGATTACCGGAAGCTATCATATGAATTAGCCATTGTGCCGACTGCTGCTCCTGTGTACTCTGCTCTGGCACTGATGTGCCTTGTTGGCTTTTATTTAACATGACGCAACATAAATTTCTTGGATCAATGCATGGACTTAAAATAAAGAAGTAGAAATATTTATTTACGGTGGAATTGATTTTATGCTTGTTATCCTTGTTAAGAAATGGAAAGATTTAGAAAAATGTGGCAAAAATTCGTGACTTGACATATGTGAACATTTACCTTAAATCAGATATATTCTTGATATAGTCTTGTGTGGATTTAGGTGGGGAGCATGATGATCTATGGTTTTTTCTTCTGAAAATTCGTTTAATTTAGTTAAATGTTTCACTTTGCAGAATTTTTAAATATACCATATGATTGATTAAAAAATAATTATCTTATTTATTGTTATATCTGTAATATTATTCAAGGAACATATATTACTTTTAAGATTCAACCGAATTAAACTGGCAACCGATTGTAAAACATTTACCAAAATTCTTTGAATATATCTTATTTAAATTATAGAAGGGTTTGAACAGTAATAAAGACGCAACAACAAAAATTTGATTTAAATTAATAAAAATTTGGCTGTCTTTACCATGCTTTATCGAGTATTGTCAAGTAATCATCATCAGTGTTCATAGGAATAATTCAAATTTTTATTTAATTAGTTTATAGTCCTCATATAATTAATTAAATAAAAATTCGAATTTTTCCAAAGAACACTGATGATAAGTACTTGACAATACTCGAAACAGCGTTGTATGGTTAGCCAAACTTCAATAAATTAAATCAAATTTTTGTTGATGTTTCTTCATTACTTTTTGAAGCCTTCTAGTTTCTTTTCGTCATAAAATGAATCACGTGTGAGAAAAAAATGTACCTTTATTTAGATTATATATAGATTAAAATAGATTATTATATTTATTTCGATTAATTTTTTTTTTTCTATTTCTATTTATCACTGTTTAATTTGTGTATTCCTCATAAGCTTTGTGTTTATTTAATGACTTATCTAAGATCTGCGTTAGATTATAATAGTGATCTTAGAAATATGCATATATTGCCGTATAAAACTCAGTACATAGAACCATTTTGATCCTTTAATATCATTTGTTTACATAGTAAGATATTTAACTATTAATATTGCACATTTTTGTTTAAAAAATATGTTAATAAATATATGACTCTTTTAACTTCACGTTCATCTTAAAGTTCTTACACATTATTATAATAACACAATTCCAAAGATTTTTGAAATTGGACAACTGTTTCCGTATCGTATATGTTAGCAATACCGATTTTATACTCACAATTATATCCATACTTAGTTAAATACTTCTCACAGCAATTATTCAAAGCTATTGAATAATGAGTGGATACAAATCTTGATTGCAGCGGTATTTCAAGTCGATATTTTTTTATTATACCAATCACCCAAGCGTCATCTATCCAAAAGAATGGCGTCTCTGCTGCTTCTCCAACTAAACGTTTTGCAGTTAACGCATTGGTTACATAACAATACCCTGATATATAGTATGGATAAATGCTAGATGAAAATTCCTCCGGTGGAGCAAGCCATTTCGAACCAAGATAACGTATTGGTTGACTTGCAACAATAATAACACCCGATAGTAGACGATTTGATGTGCTCAGTTTCAATTCATGTTCCAATAACGCCTTTAAGTAGCTTTGTAGATAGTAAACATCGTAAATGATGTCCTCATCAAGTTTTATAATAAATTTTGCTCTTCTACATTCATTGCTCGCCCACCGCAAACCCATAACGTGCTTATATGTCAAATTATGGTATGTATCATAAAAGTTTCCCTGTAACAAGTCACCAAAACGATTTTGTTCATGTTGTAGTACTGATGTGCTCACCGGAATTTCATTGGGGGGAATATCGCCAAGCAAAAATATGCGTTGAAAACCCAATTCAGCTAATTTACATTGTGGTAAAGCATTACGATGTGCCATACGTAATTTGTTATGCTTTACAAGTGAAGTCACGATAAGAATTCCTTTTAAAATGGAAAAGATATGTTATCATCTAATATATATTTAAGTGCTCACTAATGGTGTCGTCAGTTGGTAGATCTGGATTTAATCAAGATTTGCTGTCAATCTGTTATTAATCTATTATTAACCAAATCTCACTTTTTCAAGTCATTTTAAACAGCTCTTCCTTTTAGAGTAATCTTTCTACCCTTACTTTTTAGTGGTATACAGATTTACCAACTAAAAATGAAAATTGCAATAAAATTGAGTCCCGATTAAAAAAGTTATCTCCAGATTCACCAATCGAAAAATGCATTATACTCACCGAGCAAAGGCTTTTCGTATTCGTAATTCTGACATTGTTCCGTTTTAAGTAAATACTTAAAACTGGTAATATTCAGTAATTGATTTATATTATAATCGATTACTATATCATAGTGATCAATATCAGGTGGTCTGAAACGTACAATACTAAGAAGACAAGTAAAGAAAAAAATTGTCAAAAATAGAAATTTTTGATGTAAAACTCTTCGAAATATATGGGGAAAAGCCATTTTAGAATTTAATTGAACAAACACAAATTTTACAAAAATCTAAATGCTTATTTGATTTAATTAATTAAAAATATTTTTTTAAAATATTTATTCTATTAAATTATAACAAACTAATTTATAATTTCAACATATTTTAATACAAAAACAAAGTTGAATGCTATCAAGCGTAACACTCTCTTCTTCCTCTAGTGCACCTTAATTCGGGTAATGAAAATCTGACAGAGGGCTACATGGTCAAAAGCCTATGTCAATATCTATTTAAAGTAGTAAATGGCCAAAGTACAGATAAGAAACATGACAGCTTTTAAAGTTACATACCGACAACATCACATAGTATATGGGATGTGTATAAAGTAAGAACCTTGTCACTAAATATCACATCAATGGTTGACAGTCTCTGATTTCCAAAAATTTGTTAATAATATAGAATTCTCTCCAAAATAGAAAGCTTGATTTTTTTATAACAAATTATTGATATCTCCATTTGTGTAATGAAATGTGAGTGCTCCGTGCCTATAGAAAAGCTATCACAAAAAGGACTATATTTATAGTCAACTGTAGAAGTTGCTGTACGGTAGACATGAAGATGATGGCGTTGTATACTGAAACTCAAGTATACCAACTGATAGCGTTGAATGATTACATGGACAACATTATCTGACAGAGCCTAGATTTGACAGCTTGCTTAGATTTCAAATCTAAAGGATTGCGTCCATTGACGTACTATTGTATTCTATCTTATAGTATTGCAATAGTGCAATAATAGTTCTTAATAGTTCCATGAGTAACAAAATACATATTCAAAAAAATTTCTTTGCATCGTGCCCATTTTTGAATTTATTTAATGGCAATTTTTAATAATATTTTCTTTTCTCACAATATATAGTTATCTATATCTATATTTATCTATCTAAATTTTATTGTTAAATGTCGTAATTATAACACATTTCCAAGGCACTTTGAAAATTGACTAGAGTATGAAATTTATTTTTATTGAACATACCCAATTTTGAGTAGCAATTATATCCATGTTTAACTAATTTGGTGTCACAACAGTCAAGAAAAACATCCGAATTATAAGCCCATGCAAATAGTCCTTGTACTAATATTTCTAGTCTATGTCGTATAATTCCAGTAACCCAAACGTTATCTATCCAAAAATATGAGGTCTTTGCAGCTTCATGTGCTAAACGGGCTGCTGTCAAGGGATTAGTTACATAGAAACCACCCGAAAGATAATATGGATAGATGTCTGCGGTAAATTCTTCTGGTTTAGCATACCATTCCACCTTCGGATCTCGTAACGGTTTGTTGGCAACTATTACTAAACCGGACAGAAATTGATTTGATGTGACGAGACTAAATTCATTTTCTAATAATGCATTTAAATAGTTTTGTACAAAGTAAATATCGTAAATGACATTATCATTAACTTTTATTATAAATTTAGCCATTCTGCATTCATGACTTGCCCAACGTAAGCCCATTATGTGTTTGTAACTCGAATTGCGGTTTACATCCAAGAAGTTTCCCTGCAATAAATCACCGAAACGACTTTGTTCATGAACTAACATTGGCTGATTTATCAATTCTTGTGTTGGTGGTATATCGCCAATTAAAAATATGCGCTGAAAACCCAATTCTCCAAGTCGGCATTGAGGCAAAGCATAACGATGTGCCATACGAATTTCATGGTGTTGCACAGGAGAAATCACCACAAAAATTCCTACAAATGTATTCTAGATTATGAACGTATATATAGTTGGGTATCTCTGCGATTTATGCAATTAATAGAGTACTTACCGAGCAATGGCTTTTTGTATTTGCGGCATTGTTCCGTTTTTAATAAATACTTAAAATTTGTCAAATTTAGTAACGAACTTACGTCATAATCACTTTCCAATTTAGAATTGTTATTATCATCCAAATGAAAGTGTGAAATGCTAAAGAAACCTATGCAACCAATAAATACCAAAAATAAAAATTTTTTGAAAAGATGTGGAAAAGCCATATTAACAAATAACCCAACAATTTTTAAATTTTGTTTTAATAAATATTCAAATGCTTACTTGATTTAAGACCACAAATTAATCAACTACTTAATATATAGATAATTCTTCTACAAATAGGACGCCATATGACCTGTCAGCTCCAAATTGACTAAAACTTAATTCTCTGACCTGATGTAATAAAAATGCACTCCATGGGCCCGCATCTTCTATGAACAGAAATTACCGAGAAGACAATAAATGAGACAACGGAGACCTAAAATTTTCGGTTGTCCGATTTCTCTCATTATACATTCAGTTGTCCATACTTGAAGTCATCGTCAGATAAAATTTATTTACCAAGGAGAACATAATATTTCTCTGTTGGATAGCATAATTGAGTGAATTTGATCTTATGAAATCCAAAAAAGTCAAACTCCAATAAAATTGAAATTGTTCAGAATAACCACTTAAAAAGAAACAACTAAACTCTTTCTGTTCAAATGCCTAAATATTGTAAGATTGAAACATTATTCCAGTACAAGGCTCTACGAACTAAAAACTCTGGTGGACATCTTAAACATAAATCTTCGAGAAATAATCTAACTTATCTAGGAGATTAGTTTTAAAACCTTGATTTCTATGGCCGCTATTTTTATACTAAAGAAAACTGTATTAAAATTGTGAAACCAACCACCTAATAACTTAGTTAATATTCCTAAACATAAATCTATGCGGTGTGTGGTCATGTTAATGGGGCTATGCGATACTTTTACAGAAAATGAAAATACGGTTCAACTAAAATCAATCAACCAACTAATTAATAAAAAACCCCAACCATCATCTTCAAAAAAAAAAAAAAAATTCTTTATGCGGTCAGTTGGTTTTAAAAATTAGATATTTATGCTCGGTATAAACGGCGCCTAGGCGCTACTTCGATGCAAGAAGAAAAAGAACCAATTTAGTAATAATATCGATATCGAATACTTTTGTTACAAAAATCTAACTAAACCGTTACAATATATACCTTAATAGACGTGTTACTCAACAAAATTATATAGAAGCCAAGAGAATATAGTAATCATTTTCATAAATCCATTAAATAAATCTGATATTATGAAATCCTGTTATGGGGTAATATGATTGCTACTAACATTGAAATAGTTCAGAGTATAAAGTTAACAATTATGCGATCGATTACGGAATCTTATGTTATGGAAAATGGAATAAACTGTGTTAAATTTGTAAGATAAGATTAATTAATTACTAAACTGTTAAATAAAATAATTTGTTTATATTTAATCACCCTCAAATCCAATATTAACTTTATTAAGAATGAGCTGTTAATTTTAGTTAGGAAATTATAAGAAACTTGATAAGAAGCATTTTATATACAGTGGTCTTTACATGGTCTTTAAAATTTTAAGAAACCAAAAAAATCACTTTTACTTTATACAAGTATACTACCTACGCCTATCTCAAATATTAGCACAAACTGTAACAGATTTAAATATAGAGACCACCTCATCTAGTACAAATACAATATAAAAATTGAAAAATTAAACATGTCTCTACCTTAATTCCGGTTAAGTGAAATTCTTGAAATACTTCATATTAAATTATGGACACTTACGGTTTATCGTAAATAAAACTGATAACCGAAAACTTAAATTCACTTGAATTGTTGACATATCATAAAAAAGAAATCAAAAATGCCGAAGATGTCGTTGATAAAATTTACAGAAAAAGTTCACCCGGCAGCCAGTAAAGGTGAATGGAACACCATGCAAAGCGACTGAGGTATGTGGGCAAATATACGATTATATAGACTTGTACTTAAATATTTAAACTAATTAACACATTTAACATAACAAAACGTTTAAATGAAAATTAAATATAAAACAATTTTTTATTATTCATAGCATCGGAATTTAATGCCTTAAATGCCTTAAATTCCAACGTTCCCGCATTCCGGCATTCCCGCATTCCGAATTATGGCCGCAATCAGCATATGGCGTCGTGCCGTGAAACAATTATGAAACTCGTTAATCTCTCCAACATTGGTTTATGTGGAAACCTATCAGAGTTCTTGAACAAAAAAGAAGTCATAAAATATTTTTAATTATTCTATCAGGCGATTTAATGAGGTAATTGTGCTCTTATCAGTATCAATGTTGCAACATTGTTAGATTTTTATTGATCAAAAATAAATTAACAAGAATTTTATTGTCTATAAATAAAATTTTGGTATTAACTGGAAATATTCAAACTATATAATTTCTATAAAGATATTTTAATATTCTATCAGTTTTTTCTAATCAATTTCCCCAAAGTAAAAATTCTAAATATCAACGAAATTTCAATATAATTTCTTACTAATTTTAAAGTAAATGACGACTTCATGGTTTAATAGGAAATATTTCATACACTTTCAAATGAATTTTAGTTGGTCAAATATGTCGTCATGCTGGCATAGAGTTCAAAAAGTAATCAAAATTTTTTCGCTTTAACCTTGATACCAAGGTCCAAATCATAAATACCTAGCGATCATCGACCGTCCAAACAATTACATATGATGGTAGATTATTGTCTACTTTGGATTATTTTTATAAAATATCCTGAACTTATTCTATTATATTTTTGGCATTTTTTCAAATTGAAATGACTTCTTAATGGAATAAACAACTTGGCAAGTAATTTATATTTCACATTATTGAGTAATAACCACTATGGTACAGAATATTGATTTGATTTATTTATTCTGTATCCTTTATAAAATTTCGTTTAAAAGGTATAATAAATAATTTTTTCGAATAAGTTTTTAATTTATAATCATACTGCCAGCTCACGGCTTCAAAACTCTATCCAAAATTTCCAAAATCACGGTAGATGTTAGCTTTAGTCTTATAATTGCTGTCCAAAACACCAATAAAGAGCGACAATCAACCATCCAAAATATGGTAAATGATGGTTGATTATTCTCCAGCTTTGGAGTGTTTTTGCAAAATAATCTGGAACGCTTTCTAGTATAATATAGGAGTTCTATTAAATTGTTTTGGCTATTTGATGGATAATCAATTTGACAAAAATTTCATATATAACGTCATCACGTTATAAATTAAATACTGAATTTCAGAATATTAATTTAATTTATTTATTTTGCGTTCTTCACAATATTTGATAGAAAAGCTGTAATAAATTAATTAAGATTTTTATACTGCTTTGAAGCAAATGATGTGATATGTTGTATATGAACAGGTATAAAAGTACTTTATCTTTGAATCCTTCAACAAGCGAATGAACCATGAATGTGAATTTGCGAAATATTCACCCATGCACAAAAAAGGTCTTGAACATTCTTGAACACTCTCATACTCTTTAGTGTTATACCAAGACCTACAAAACTTCATATATTAAGAACTCAAACTGTTTTCATCTCGAACAGAAACATTTTTTCTAAATACTGTGCTAAAATAAATATAAGCTAAATGAAAATGAAATCAATAAAAATGTCAGCTAACAGCACCAAAAAAAGAAAACAGCACCAAAAAAAAAAAACAGCAATTAGAATAAAACAAAACAGAGAACAATATAAAATTATTTCTCAAAAAATTTCAACAGGAAACGTGTTCATGAACCTTTTCAATATTATTATAATTTGAAGTTACAATAGAACTAACTCCATAAACCAAATATTTCCATTGTGTAACATATTTTCATTAAATTTTGATGACATGGACTTAAGTTTAGTATCACGATACAGACACATGTTTGTTTTTTTTTATATATTGCGATAGGTGGAAAGTATCAACAGTCACAGTGTGAGACTGGAACCCACTAAAGCTAGAAACAAGTTGAGAAGATTTCATATATAAATAAAATATTTCCGTTGTATTTGTAATGCATTTTCATTGAATTCTGAAGACACAGATATAAATTTAGTATCACGATACAGATACATGATTTTTTTATATTTCGCGATAGGTATAAAGCATCAACATTCACTCTCTCAATTGAGAAGATCTCAGCCGTCAGACTGTGACAGACATCTAGCTGAGGCCGCATTCCAGTAATCAAGAGTTAAAGATATATAACATCTTATATATAACTGGATATTTTATGACCACAATACACTTACTGATATTAAATTCAATTTCAATAAAAATCTAAATATAAATATAAATAAATATAAATATAAATAAATATAACCACATTATGTCGTAAGCAAAAACAAGAGCTTTACTGATTTTAGGGAATATTTTCTTAACAAGGTAATATTAACAAGTTAATTTAATTATTTTTTTTTTAATTTTGATTTGATTATTAACTATTTTTACTTCAATGAACGGGAAAATCCAATTCAACCTTTTGCAAGCACATTAATGTATTTCAAGAATGAACTTCCTGAGATATCACAATAAATTGATTATTCAAAGAAAATAAATAAATTTTAACTTTAAATTTAAATTAATCACAGTTCCAATTCAATTATTTATATAAATATTTATTTTTATTCATATATAAGTGAGCTTTACTTGCACTAACTTATATAGTAACTGATCAAAGTGCAGAAATACTTACTAATCAGATACTTCAACCAAATGAAGTTAGTCAATGCGATACTTACTCAAAAAAACAAATGCAAAATCTTATCTTATTATCTTACACGTTGATCTTTATTGTGATAATGATGATGACTACATTGATGAGAATAACACTAGGAAATAGTCATTTGTTCATATTGTGTATTAATAATAAGTTAACAAAATTTTACCCACACTTCACACTCTTTAATAACATATTATACTCTTAATATTAGTTAAGTATACATACCTATATGAGCACTAAACATATTATTCTGACGCACATCTCATTAAGTTTTCAGGCCGAATTTTTTAACAGCATAGGTTGAAAATGTGCGCTACATACTCACAATTATTCAAGTTACCATAAACCCCATTTAAAGTTCCAATTTATTATACGACTGCAGATAAAATTTTAACATATTGAGTAGTAATTTGAAGGTAAATGTGGTAAGATTCCCTATACTCATATGGATATAGCTATAAACCAGCAGGCTGACCTCAAAATCTTAAAGATTTTGTTTGAAGAATTTTAGTATACTTAAGATGTAACAACTAGCCCATCATTAATCCTCTCTGGATTGGTTTTTATAGCTTTTTCACATGTAGTCATTAGAATAACTAATAGACTAATAGAATATAGACTGTCTTGTTTAATGAGTATTTTTACTGGCACACCAGAGTGTGTCCATTAAAATAGACGGAAAGGATGAAAAAACACTAATGTTTTCAATGGGTCACAGTTGAACCAGTTGGACAATATAGTAATATTTTAATATTGATTCAGATGAGTACGAACTGATTGTCCAAATTTTGTATATTAATCGCGGTGCCCACTCTTTGACATCTTAGATGTAATCTAATGACCACTCTCTTCTTTTTTACTCTTTTATAATAGATACGAAACTGTTTAGATACGAAACTTTTGTTGTATGTTGGATAATTCGTTTTTGGTAAAGCTAGATAATTATCCCAGGATATGTATCATTTTGAATTACAAATCCACATTGTTTTTAAGAAGCCTGTTAATATGAGATAGTATTATAGTCATTAAATGTAAAGCCATTCTCAATGTCTGATATCACTAGTTTAGTTGATCATTTTATTCTGACCATTCTTATCTTGGACCATTAATACAGTTCGATCAAAAGTGTTATATCAGTAGTGTTTATTCTAAGTTGAGTCTTTTATCAACATCAAAAATGAATGGTTAAATTTTCATAAGATGAACGAGGTTAGTAAGGCGATTAAAGCTAGAATAGCTGCTATTAGGAATTCATTAGAAAAATTGTAAAAAAAAAGAAAAATAAAAACAAAGTTATCTAATATATTCACTGTTTTATTAATTATGTATTTTTTTTTAAATCAAATATATTTTTGATACCCTCTCAATTAATTATTAATTAGAAAAACTTATAACACTTTACTGACGGGAATATTAAAAAAAAAATTGTTTCAACTTTTGTTTGGAAATTTTTAACTATGACATGCAATAGTTCATAAAAGAACTTTTATTTTATATTTCATAAAGTTTAAAAATTAATTAACTATTGCTTTGTTGCTATAATTTTTTTCTATTGGAAAGGTTTCAACCTAAGTTATCCATACAGGCTAAAATAATCATTTTGAAGAATTACGCGTAGGAGCACATATTGGTATTCAAAAAAAACTTAACAAAAATAGACTAATTAAATTCACTACAATTTATGCTTAATTAATTGTTAGTAATTATTAAATTAATTACTTGAGAAAATAATGAATCGAAGAAACTCAAACGGAAATAGAGTTCCTCCACCTGTAGACAGTGTGGTGCTCTACGAACGCTTCTGGATGTGTTGGAAAATTGTTGGTATTGGCACTGACTACAATGAATTCCTATGTGGCTTATATGACATCTGTGTGAACATATTTATAACAATATATTATCCATTACATTTGACTATTGGTCTCTTTATGGAACCAACAGTAGCAGACGTCTTTAAAGTCCTTGCTATCAATGTCACTTGCATTGTGTGCACAATTAAACATTATATGTTTCGTTATAAATTAAAAAAAATTCGTGCTATACAGGCGACTCTCAGTCAATTGGACAAACGTGCTATGGATATGGATGAACGTGAATACTTCAGTAGAGTACCTAAGGCTGGTGCACAATTTGTTGTGAACGCCTTTTTCGGTGCATATATAATGTCAAATTTGGCTGCCGCTTCTGCAGCACTTTTATCTTCAGAACGTCGTCTTATGTATCCTGCTTGGTTTCCATTCGATTGGCGTGCCACAACGCTAAACTATTGGGTCGCCTTACTATATCAATTTTTCGGAATAACCATACAGATTATACAAAACTTGGCTAATGATATTTATGCACCGATGAGTCTTTGCATAATTGCTGGACATGTACGTATGTTGGGTATGCGTTTATCCAAATTGGGATATGATACTAGAAAATCCACTATACAGATAAATTCAGAACTCATCAATTGTGTGGAAGATCATAAGAAGTTATTGGAGTAAGTCATTGTCGTGTGCATATATTATCCAAAAAATTAATCTTTTATTAATTTTAGAATTTTCGAAGCTCTGCAGGATACACTCTCTATAGCCCAATTATCACAATTCATATCGAGTGGCCTTAATATATGTATCGTTTTGGTGTACCTTCTTTTCTACGCTGACAATATATTTGCTTCCATATATTATAGTGTCTATTTCATAGCTATGGCTATTGAAATCTTTCCATGTTGTTACTATGGCAGTATAATGCAGCAAGAGTTCTTGGATTTACCTTATGCAGTGTTTAAAAGTAATTGGTTGAAGCAAAATAACAAGTTTCGAAAGAATATGATCATTTTTACTGAATTGGCTAAAAAGGAGATAACCCCTATAGCTGGCGGTGTTATTGGTATACATTTAAATGCTTTCTTCTATACCTGCAAGATGGCTTACTCTTTGTTTGCTGTGTTAAGGTCCTAAAATGGTTATTGGACACTGTACTGAAATTAATTCTCAAATCACAACTGAATCAAATACTCAATAAATTAATTTAACTACTTTTCAATTAATGTTTTTACTGTAGAAGATATCAAACATTTGTTTTTGAACCCATCAAAGACTTCTTCCGCCGACAAAAGTCGTTGTCTTTGATGTGCGAGAATGAAAACAAATCATACCAAATTAAGACTCAAATAGTCACTTCTGTAAGCCGATGTGTGAAAGCCTACTTATTATTGGGAGTTGGTTTTTTAAGAATATATTTAACAAAAAAGTAGTGGCGTACCAACCAAAATTGACCGTTTTGCAACAGTCTTCTAACAAGGCTTTGACAAGACCAATTTTATTGAAAAAAAATGGACGAAGATTTGTTTTAAAATACTTTGAGAAAATTTTAAATCCATTATTTGTCTCCGATCTGAAAAAATCATATAACACATATAATACATATAATTCTGTTGAATTATATGTAAAGCAATGAGAACAAATTTATTTGGCCTGATAAATGATGATGCATGTTTATTGGAAACTATGTCACATCAATATTTTCTGGTACTATTACTGATTTTGAACGATCTACACCAACTTCACTTTTCATCCAACCACATCCGCGAAACTTATTAAATCAATATCTCGTATTTACAAATGATAATACTTTTGGACCAGAAATGGATGCACCTATGTCATGTACACGAGTTAATTATATTGTTTTGCTTAATTTATCGTAAACAATATAAATTGCATTCAAATGATGAAACATTTTAAAAAAGTGGTAGTCTAAATTGTCAACCTTTCAAGTTCATATATCAACTGGCATCTAACAATATTTTGGGTTGCCAATACCCACAATATCTATAGTGATATCTTGCTTAGAATTTCAATTGACATCGCGTGACTTAGTGACACAAATCTTCTTCGCACACAGTTCTAGATAGAATTTTTCAAATCTTATAGCTACTGTTGTAAAAAAAAACCAAGACCTTAAACTAATGTCTTTATCAACAATCAATTATCAGTAATCTATTCAAAGTACATACAGTGCAAAAGTCAAATAAAATCCTATATAATATATGTTTTATTCTTATATCATTTATGAAGTTCAGACTGTAAGAACATTAGAGATTTTCGGAGAATTAACTCACAATTCAAGAAATGCCTTTTAATATATATTCGATTCAAACTTATATTAAGATGTTTTTTGTGATTGTTATAATATATCGTTAATTTGTTTTATTTTAAAAATTAAACATACTGGCTAAATTCAACTGCAACTAATTTTTAACTGGTATTCATTTCGTCTGATGACAATTGCATCTACATACCTTTTAAAACTTTCCCTACCAATCTAACACTTCAAGTAGTAACAAACCTGAACAAGAAATTTCGTCAAATCTGAAATGTTCCAAATGTTCGTATGAATATTATACATTATTTCAAGCTGCCTTCATCGACATACATCACAGACAATCGCATGGAATAATTCACTCCAAGTCAGTAATCACGTTGACGTATTAACATAGATCATCCTGTCAACACTATTTTAGTCAGATTAGACATGAAAATAAATCTTTCATGACAAATAACTGAAAAACGTAAACTGTATGATCGGAAGTAGCGCCAGATAAAACATTTTATCTTTTCAAATAATTATTATTATAACAATCATGAAATAATGTGAAACGCCCAATATTCCTCAATGAATCAAGGAGTAAATGATACAAAATACAAAAGAACACAGAAACTCATAAAAATAAATACATTGAATGAAAAGGGAAGAATAATACCGAGTTTTTTTATTTTTGGTTTTGATATTTTGCCGCCAAACGGATTTCATGATTTCTACAAATAATAGTACCAATCAGATTGATCAATAACATCAATAAATAAAATATACCCACATCCATTTTTAGTTATTTACCGGCTTACACCACACGCCGCTATTAATTGATCAATTTTATGAAAGATGAGCCAATTGATATGCGTCCTCTGCCTGTCCGGACGGTAAACGGATCCTTGTGTCAAATGCCAAAGCAATTACAATTTACCAAGAAATTACTTACTTATTAGGCCTATAAATAACACACAAAAGAGAAGAAAAATAAAACTCAAAAATTAAAAACAAAATCACTAATAACAAAAACAACAAGTGCCAAACCCACATCAGTATCGATTTATTCCTTCACTACTTACCCTTTTCTACTTAAACTAGCCTAAGGCATACATCCATATTATTACCTGACCAACAACTACAGTGTGTAACGCGTGCATATTATCGCCTGTACCACATCATCCTACCTCATCTTCAATGCTCATTATGCACGCTCATAAAGTGTCAAATTATAGTCATCGAAATCTGTTGTACGAGTTCCCATGATCGCCGGTAATTACGGAGATGCAATGCATTTTGTCACACTCAATTTACTAAATGCAGCTGATTGCACTTATTTGGGCTGAAAAGATGTGCGTGGTCTCTTTTTGGAACTTTATTTTTTTTAACCCATGCTGTTCTTAAAATTTGTTTTTTTCTTTATCTTCTGTTTTTTGTAGTATGAACTGTTTTTTATGAATAATTTACTCTTCCTTGATCGAGAAACTGTTTGATAAAACCTGTATAATTCTAGTAGTTCCCTTTTACATTCATTCAGACATGCTGTTCTGATAAGACAAACAAACTATATTGGTGGCATTATTAAACTTCTTAGAAAATGTATTTTAGGTTTAAAATGCATTCAAATAGGACAGATCTTACAGTACACTTTATAAATAGTAAAAGCATCTTGGTGACGTGACAGTCAAACCCATCAAAGGCATTTTAAGAGCGTTTGCTGAAGCTCATAAACTAATCCAGCATACGAGCAAGTATAGAAGTTCTACAATTGGTCAACATAGCTGATTAAAACACACTGAACCTCCCGATCTCACTTTTCAACTGAAGGTGAAACCAGTAGAAATACTTATATCGAAATGTTAAATCTACTTACAAGAATCTTGTTACTATAATGTTACTAATTGTATTAATGTTTTATTATATCTTAGATTTACAACAATAATATATTATGTCAATAAAAACAATCAAAAGATCCAATTTATTTGGAAAATTATATAAAAAACCGAGCTTGGGAAGTTCAGTTTATTTCATCCTTCTATTATTATAATGGCAATATCTTCTAAGCGGAGACTTAGTATTCACGTCGGTCTGGAAGCCATTATGATAAATTCAAACCCTACTGCGACTATTTTCTGTACTTGTAATACTAGCTTCTAATAAAATTAATACAATTATGTACAAACTTAATCTAGGCAGATATTTTGTAAGGGTCGACTATAATAAAGTCGACCAATTTCCTCTATTTCTAAATTATATCTATATATAGTTTATAGTTATACTATATCTGTGTTGTGGTTTCAAAATGGCTTTCTTAGCTAATTAAGGAGGATTAATTTCTTCCTCCACTTTAACTTACTAAACTATAATTGTCGGTATTCATAAAAAATACAACGAAATTTTAACCGTATTGTTGTATATATATCCGTAGCTAAGATCAATAAACTATAGACCATCCTTAATAACTGCAGTCTAACCTGCCAGTCCCCGAACTATCTTCGCTTTTTTAATTTATTGTAATGATTATTGTCAGGTTTCCGTGTTGAAGTGATGAATCTACGTTTCTTTTATATAAAGTTATGAGGCTGGGAGTCGAACTTGTTTTATGAAGACATTCTAACAAAGTTTTATGAATGTTCATATGTCAGTCTATTTGTCCTTGGCGATATCCTATACAGCTAGACCTTTAAGTAGATTGTAGGAAGATGAACCAGTTCCCATATGAACAACTTTTTACTAATGTAACGAATGCTTGGTCTTCTATTCCTAATACATGTTCTATTCCTAATATATCAAATTGTAGAGTTATCAATCATTTAAGGCCTGTTCATAATAAAAATAGACATACATATAATAAATATACTTAGCGATATCTAATAAAGCTAGATCTTTAAAAAGATTATAGGGAAATGAATAAGTTCCTATATAGAAAATTAAAAAACAATTTACTAATTTAACGAATGCTTGGTGTTCCACTCCAAACACACACATGTCTTCCAAATTCCAAAATTGTAAAGCGATTAATCATTTAAACCATGTTCATAAAAATAATAGATATCAATTTAGCAAGTATTCGAAAGTCTCCTTAATTCCTCATTTCCTGCATTTAGTGCATATATCACTTATTATAATTCCAACATTGTATGCCTACTCTGCTAATAGACTGCCCGTATATATATCTATAATAGTTCTACAATGTTTCCGAAACAAAACGCTTATGTTAACACTTTTATTTTATCATTATATCTACAATTTAATTATCAACTATTATAAACTAAATAATAAACTTAAGTGAAATAAGTAAAGTTAGGTATGCCTACGCATATAGTTATTCTTAGCACTGACAAATATGGGGGTGTGTTACACATATCAATCTGAACTAAATTTTATATCAAACTAAAAATCACTTTCTGTTCACAATGTATTATAGATTCTGTTTAGAGATCTAGTAAAACCTGGTTATATTTACTGAATCATGGTACAAAAACCATTGTGCGTAGTGTTTTTAATTTAGTTAGTTAAAATATCAGCTTATCTTAATGGATCTCATAGATAACATTACCAAACTACCAACAACAAAGAAGAACTTACAAAAATTTATGGACTTTGGTCTACTACTTATACGACCTGCAATTTTAAGTTTCAAAATACAGAAGTGAGGAAAAACCACTCCCACTTTATAGCTAAATTTAAATACTATCAACCACTTAATGACCATTACGATATGATAAATTTTGGGTTTCAACTGAAGAAAATCCGAAAAGGTGTGTACTGGTTTTTACCCCCGGTGAAAATAATTCAAAATATTTGCAATATAATATTGCATTTAACTTTTTAAGTACCTGAAATTTTATTAAAAGTATTCAAAGCAGTAAAATATCAACCACGTTCTGATTTTGGTTTTTTGAAAGGAAATTCCATAGATAAAATTCGGTGTATAGTATAGTATGAATGAGATGTTGAAACGGTTAACCTATAATCGAAATTCCATATCAATTTTTGCTAGTAAAATTACCCAATTATGCAGTGTTAATTTTTTCTGAAGTGGTTTGAGGAATTCGGTGGTATGACTAAATGTGAACACACTGAAAAAAATTTCGGAGCAATTAAAAGCAATTTTTGTTTTAAAATTTAAATAATTAATATATCAAAATAAATATTTTTCAAGAATTGTTTTTTATTTAGGTTTATATATTTTGAATTTTATTTATTAAATATTAACGCGTTTCGTTTTGAATACAAACAATTTGCAGTAATTATTTTATATAGAAAATATGTAAAATGTTTGCATTGGGTGGGCAACTGTGTAGCAAATATTTTTTTTAATTAACAAATGCAATCATTGCAGAGGTGGTCAATTAGGGTTCAAAAGCTATTGACCATTTTTTTAATATCTTTAAAAAGTAAGCTTTTTGTTTTTTCTTCAAAGTTTTATTTGTAATAAAGAATAATAAATAATATATAATAAATAAAACAAAGTTTTTGTTTTAATACTATGAACAATATGAGAATTAAAAATTTAATACTAAGAAGCTAGATCAGCTCGTAATAATTTATCTACGTATATATTTAATATAAGGGACCATATGCTCCACTTACGACAGAAGGACAGCAGTAAGTAAGTAAGTAATATTATATATAAACTATATCCATATATATAAATATATATATTATAAATTATTATACTATCCAACTGAGTGGAGTTAGTGGGATATTACCTGATAAGACATTGCAACATGCGCTTCTGTATGTAGAGTCTTCTGTATGTAGAGTAACATTTGATATATATTCACATTATTTGTAAGTGTTTTCTTGCTCTCTTCAAAGTGGAAGTTTTACGGCGAAAACTTTTCGCTCTGGCTTCAAAAACTAATAACAACAAAACAGATTTCTTTCTGTTTATCGATTTTTATTCTGTTCAACTTTTTAATTATTATTTATTAATCAATATTAATAATTAAAAAAAAGTGGCTATGTCAGGGAGCAATTTGTAGATATTAGAAAGAATACGACGATGAGTTGAAATTAGAAAAAAAAAAAATTGGGTTAAGTGAATAGATTAAATTTGGCGTAATCTGACATCAATAAAGTCTAAGTAGGTGTGTAAGCTTGAAAAAACCGACTAAAAGATGACGTTATTGGGAGTTGAATTGCAGTTTATACACATATTTAGAGTGACGATATTTATACCTGACAAGTAACTGCGGACGTTTATCAAGCTCAAAAGTTTTCAACTTTTAGAAGGCTTATATTGAAGACTATAAGCTCTTGCTAATATTTAATCCCTTTAATATTATATCACTTGCGATACGTGTCGATGTATTTATTATGCAAACAAAAGGACTAATACATGCAGCGGGTTCCTGTACAGATATTCATCTGTTTGGCACAAAAACAGAAATTGTTTTAATAGCTGTTTCTCTAAAAGGTGCATTTTATACAAATATTTGCTTCCAATTGAAGAGTATAATGATTCAATCGCAATAGAATATTACATGTACAACTTCCTCTTGCAGGAATTAGTTCTCATTGAATCAGATAAATCCGAACACTGCTATGGAAATAGAGATGACGATGAACTAAGCCTGATTCTAATCCAAACTCTAAAATTGGTTGTTAGAAAGAGTAAACTAATAGATACGGGCTACAATGAATCCAATTATTATATTTCTTCCTTAATAAAGAAGCCAATAATGCTTACAGGGGACACAATAAAAATATCAGTGATCATAAGATGTTACGGTCTCATGAAGTCTATTATTCTTGCATACAATAATCAAGCAGTCAATTGGTTGGTATCATAAACAACAGAGTTCAATTTTACTGATATTACCATTCATCGAATAAATGAGTTATATATTATTTATTTACTTTTGATACAATCTGAATAAGAAAAATTGTTTTGGATAAGTTGATTAAAATTAATGATGTTTTTATTATACAATAGGATCAATCTATTACGTATATTCATTATAAGATTTGAAATCTGTACATTCATTTTTTTGATATCTTTCAGCTAGTGTTTTAGCATGGTAGTTGCCCATGTGAGGTTAAACGGTTGTTAATTTTTTATAAAATTATTTCTCACCTAATATAATAGTAAACATTTATAAAAATTTTGTGATATATCACATGTTTTGCAATACAATTATTAAAATAATTCCTGAATTAATATTTTATAGTCTATTTGATAAGGTGACAAAGCGACAAAACTCCAGTTTATGATGAGCTACATTTTTTGGAGGCTAATATAGTTCGCAACATTATTACTCATCTAAACATAAAATATCAATATATAAACTGTTTATTATTATTAGTGAAATTGTAATCTTTAAACAAAAATGAAAGTTTAATTTGAACAAAAAATATATGTAGACTTTAAGGACAATAATTGGATAAAGTTTCATATATATTTCTAATTTATTATGTTGCTTTGCATTCATGAACATATGGTAGTTTATATGCAAATTAATATTTATTTATCTTGGATTGGCTTATTGTGTTTTAAATATGTGATATTAGAAATAAGCCCTTATAATATATGGTTAATAGACATACAGACTTCCATCACTGATATTTTGTCTTTATTGATATTTTGTATTTCGTATTTTGAAGTACCTTTTCTCTTTTTTCAATCAGTTCCCGATATTTTTCCGATATCATTTCGTTTATACAAAAAACAAATTTTAAGAATTTCAGAAAGCATAGATTATAATAAAAATTTGGAAAAAAAAATGAAAAGTACAATTAAAAAACGGAAATAGGGATCTTATCAATATAAAATTATAATTAAATAATTTTATATAAATATTATAATACAAATAAAATTTATTTGTATATTATAAATAAAATATATTTAACTTGATTGATGTGTTTTTTACTCGTTCATGTAGTGAAGAGTTTCTCCGTTTAATAAATCTGAACTGAGATTATTCACTGGTTTTCCAACTCGATATGCTCCTGTTAACTACCACATCTCAGGAAAGGGAGAACAGCGACATCAGCAAGTGCTATAAAATGCATAGTTCAGCTTCCATTTATCTTGTGTGGTAGTGCCCAAAAAATTAGTTCAAAAGGGAACATACAGCTCATATTGCACCAAATAAGTTCTGAAATTTTGAATCAAGAGATATTGTTAGGTTTGTTAATAGGCTTAAATTGTCTGGGTCAGTTTGAAGCAACATAGTAGGAGTTAAAGATCGTAGTATATCATTGTTCATTTTAATATTAAAATTATATGAGTATAAATACTCATTCATTATACCATCGGTTTTATATATATATATGTATATAAATACATATACTTTGTTGTTTTTTAGTTAGTAGTTAGTAAACAGTTAACATCTTTTCAATGACGGAAATGGAAAAATTACTGATTTTCCAATAGAAAAATCAACAATTTCATTACTGTTATATACAATAAAACAGAAAAGTAGTGGTTTTTATGTAGTCGATATATTATTCCATAAAAGTACTACATTTATTTTAAATGGAATACTTCGAATTCTTTATAATTGGTCACTAATGTGAAGGAGTACCTTTCTTCCTTTGCAAATACCGGAAGAAATTTTCCATTTATATAACAAAAGCTATTTCTTAAATACTTTAATTATTATTTAATTGCACTAAGAAATCAACAATGCACAAACCAAAACATCAAAAGGATACTATAAAATAGGAAAATTTGCTTTGGAACCATTTAGTGACAAGGAAGACTCATAAGAGTTAACATCAAACAAAGAAAACTGGACATATAAGAAGTGAAAAATTTCCTTTAATAATAATTTTTGGATTTAATTAGAAATAAAAATTAAATAAAAAGTTATGTTAGAAGCAGTCGATAGTGTGGTACTCTACGATCGTTTTTGGATGTGCTGGAAATTAGTAGGCATTGCAACGGATCAAAACAAGTATATTTGCGGTTTATATGATCTCTGCCTAAATATATTTGTTACCATCTTCTATCCACTGCACTTAACTATTGGTTTATTTATGGAACCCACATTGGGTGATGTATTCAAGAATTTAGCCATTAATGTCACTTGCATTGTCTGCAGCCTGAAGCATTTATTATTCCGTTACAAATTAAAAAAAATCAGAGCTGTACAAAGTATTTTGCATGAACTTGATCGACGTGTAGTGGCTGCAGAAGAACGTAAATACTTTAGCGAAGTCCCTAAAGCAAGTGCTTTATTAGTGGTGAATGCCTTCTTCACAGCTTACATATTCAGTAATATAACAGCAATTGCTGCGACATTGCTAGCTTCTGAACCGAGACTTATGTATCCTGCTTGGTTACCATTCGATTGGAGTAGTAATACATTTACCTATTGGGCTGCACTATTATACCAGTTCGTTGGTATAACCATACAGATCATACAGAACTTGGCTAATGATATTTATGCACCGATGAGTCTTTGCATATTTGCTGGCCACGTGCATATGTTGGGTATGCGTTTGTCCAAACTGGGACACAATCCAATATTAAAACAAGATGATGTTAATAAACAATTATTGCAATGCATAGAAGATCATAAATTATTGTTGAAGTAAGTTAATTAAAATTTTTTTTTGAAATATATTGTATTAAGTAGTGTTTATTACAGAATTTTCTATTTGCTACAAGACACATTGTCTTTGGCACAATTGGCGCAGTTCATTTCAAGTGGTCTGAATATATGCATTGTTTTGGTGTACTTACTATTTTTTGCAGATAACATTTTTTCTTATATATACTATTCAGTCTATTTTGTTTCCATGACTATAGAGATTTTTCCTTGTTGCTACTATGGCAGTATCCTACAGGAGGAATTCGCTAATTTACCTTATGCTGTTTTTAAAAGTAACTGGCTTGAAAGTCAACGGAATTATCGTCGACACATGATCATCTTTACTGTTTTGGCGCAAAAACAAGTCACCCCGTTGGCTGGAGGGATTATTGCCATACATTTAAACGCATTTTTTACGACTTGCAAAATGGCCTATTCTCTGTTCGCAGTACTGAGGCAAAATTAACTAAAATATATTAACCTATATCTAGTAAATACATTTATATAACTATAAACATTATCTATATGGTATACGTTATATTGTATGAAAGAGATATATTATATATAATTCGTATATTGTATATTAACAACTTAAAAATGGTATATTATCTATTCGCAGTACTGAACAAAAATTTAGTAAGATATGTGCCATATAAACATATATATTGTCTATATACATTATTTTATATATATGAACAAGATATATTATATGTGTTTTATCAAAAGAGCTTCATTTTTGTTTTTTCTAATATATATTTTATTTATTAATGCAGTATTTATTGATATAGTATATTATCATATACGATGGGTGCTACCAGTAACGTAGCTTTATAAACCGAAACTACTGGAAATATTTTGTTTAACGAAATTTAATGATAATCTAAAAAATAAAATATATATAAAATAAATAAAATTTTATAAAATATATATATTAGTAACTTTTTCTAATGAGAGCACAAAATCTATAATCTACAGTAATACATTTTCGCTTGAATTTTGAAATACTGGACTTAAGATAAACACTAGTAGGACAAAAAAAAATAAATATAAAAGTCTCATAATATTTTCAAAAAACTTTATTTTAATAACACATCTCATACCTCACACAGGCAAATATACGAATATTCTTAGATCAAATCCACTAACACAATCCGCCTACCTCGAGTATTTTCCGATGACTTATTTTTCTGTAAAAAACCAAAATATTTTTGTGATAAAGTTTTGCAATAAATTAGAAAAAAATTCAAAAACAATGTTTTTAATGTTTTTAATTTTTTCTGTTATTTCTTCTATCTTCAAGGTTATACCAGTATATAGGTCTTGCAGAATAATTATCTAATCACCAGCGATCACCCCAAATAAACACTATTCAACAGTGGTAATTTCATATACGGACAGTCTGCTTAGTAACCAAGAGGCGGAATACCTTAAAGATTTTATTTGTTTATATTTTAATGACTTTTCAATAAGTTCAATGAGTTGTTTTCTTTATTTGTATGAAGAGAAATAACAACAAATAAACAGCAACAAAAAATACGAGTATCTAAAAAACAACAACCCAACAACAACACCTCACACATGAGATGCTTAACTTATCATATTGTAAAGTAATTTTAATAAATTATTGAAAATGCAAACAAAAAACACAAATAAAAATATTTATGAAAATTATGGGGTGTTTCCAAAGAAATAAATTTTTTATTGAAGAGACTATTTTATTGGGTTGTTATTATGTGAACTGACCATACACTGCAAAACAATTTTGGTTTAGTCGGTAGCAATGAAAAAGTTCTTCAATAGCAGTATTTAGCACTACTATCGGTATAAAGTTGAGGTAGTCGAATTAAAGAAAAAGTGTAAGAAATGAGTTGAGAAGATTTCTACAGTTATGTGGCGCTGTACCAAATATTTATAGAAAATGCATATCTGAAAGACTGTTATTTACCACACTTCACCCTTTACCCCACCCCCTTCATTATTACTTCTTCCTCTAAATTCATGCCCTTGTTTTCTGGTTTAGATGAACCTAGTCCACTAGGTATTAAGTCTATCTACTTTCTCTCTCCCCTGATTACTAGAATGAAGTTTCCACATTGCTGTGGGAATCTTCACCATTCATTCATAAGAGGTAGTTTTTGTGGGTTCAAGTCTCACACTGTGGCTTTTGATCCTTTCCACCTACCGCAAAAAAAAAATGGCTGTTATTAGATTTAAAATATGTTGAGTAGACACAACAATATATTCATTATCTAGTTACCAGGATGTAGTGTCTACCATATTAACCGCTTAGCTGACAAACTGACATGGAAAATCACAGTCATAAGCTATATCAGAAGGAATTCAGAAGGAACTCAAAATATTAAGATTTAGGTACAAAAAAAAAAACAAGACCACTTGTGCCAATATCAAAAAATCTAGTAACTCATAAACTTATCCAGTATTAGGAAATCATCAAACTAGAGTTGGAATGAAAAACGTTAATATATATTATGTCCCATCTAATCAGATATTGCCTAATAGGTTTACAAGCATAGAGACTTATAGTTCAAATTATTGTTTCTTGCAGCCGCAGTTATAAGGAAGTGGAAGAACTAATAAACACTCGTCTATTACGCAGTTAAATTAGAATTAGAAAGCAACAGACTAGCAATTATTTCAAACTACTTTTTCGAGTACCTATAAGAACTATCAAAAACTAATATGGAAAGACTTCAAACATATTAAATGGATAAAGTGACGACACTTATAGCTTAGTTATCTAACGGAAAATTGTCATAAATCGACTATTTTTTTAAAGGCTATGATACAAGCATTAATAAACGTAAACAAAATATATATTTTATTAAGATATCATTGCCTAAAAATTTCTCGTCTTTGATTCATAACTCATCAACCGCTTAAAAACAGTAAAGTGTTAATTGCTACAAGGAAAATGTAGCTGTTACTTACAGCTGTGGTTCATAAGCTGCCAATATTATTATATCCATATTACCGAAATCTTACATTACGGATGCTTTAACTCTAAAAACAATCCAACTATTCTCGTTCAAGTACTTAGCTATTTAAGGAAAGTAGTTTATAAGAAGGAAATATTTCCTTTCTTGCTCTAGGAAAAAAGATAAGTTTAGGAATCGCATTTCTCAGTACTGAATTTTTGAACTGAATTTATATTAAATTCCAACTTTGTAGTTTATTGTCAAAAATGTTCTATATTTCATATTTGTATCCGATATGTATATATATACACCAAGATATTAACTTTTACTAAATTTAGCAATTCATTGTAAAGAAAATTTTTCAATTTACTAATTACAATTATATGTTCAATAACCTATTTTGCAATATCACCACAACAACAGATATCGTATATAGCATTTGTGTAGACTCGATATGAAAGTTGCACGCTTAATTACCAACAATCAGTGAAATTTATTGACTTTTTACACTAGGTCACGGTCGGTTATCAATAGATAGTGCACACACATTACCGAGTATCTACAAGTAATAAACCATAACTACGACAATGTAGAGAATTCGCACAGTCATAAATTCTTTAAATTTACTTCAAACGACAACTACTGGCAACTAAGAAAAGACATAAATTATATTTGAAAAGATACTGCAGTAAGTAAAAACCTATAAGAAGAAATCGAGATCCATTTCAATTAGAGGGGCAATAGCGTCAATTATGTTTGATTGAAATTGAAACAGACGTATAAAATCGTATGAAATTTTTGCAATATTCCGAAAATACACTAATTTTCATTAGAGACAAGGTCACGCATGCCAGCAGTGGGCACGGCCTATGGGGGCACGTTAGGCTTTCGCTGATTGGTGCAGGCATTGATTTCAGGCATTCTTCTCTCTTTTACTTCCATCGAGTAAAGAAATGTATCTAACAACTACAGCGCAGTGTTTGCGTATGTGATTTTTGTCAATAAATTCCGGTTTAATTAATTTGAAATTAGTTTTTTTTTTCGTAAGGCTATTGTATTTTCCCACAGTCTTTAATTAAAGAAGTTTTATATAAATTGCTGTATATGTTTCGGTCCATGTTACTTTTACAATTCAAGTGCGCAAATCTCATTCATAATGTGCGAAGATTTCTTTAGATTTAATGTTTTCCTAATATCGATTTTTTTCTATTTTTAATTAATTTTTGCCACGTTAATTAGCGTAACCTTTGTTTTGACTTCAAACATCACAGACCGGCATCACAGCGGCAGCTCTGCGGTGACTTTGTACTTTTTTTCACTTTATTTGATATTTGATTTGAAATTGACGTCTGAGTACTACCTCTACTAACGAGGCAGAAATGTGCCAAATTCTGCAAGTTTATAAATCTTTAAACAAATAAACAGAAATTCTTGCAACGCAAAATAATTGATTCCTTAAAAAAATTCTTTTTTCTTAGAGTTCCTTAATGTTAATTAACTTAAGAACTGATTAATTTCAAATTTCAATAACTTCTTTCTAATTGGTAATTAAAATATTTTTTTAAAATTAAACATACTTAAAAATACCTACAAATTAAACTGTACAAAAATACTTATAGGAGTAACAGAACATTATCCACTGAAGGCGCTACCCCTCAAAATGGTTTTGGCACAAGAAGTGCAATTTCGGTAAGTGAAACATAAACAGATTTAAATAACCTTATCTTACGTTAATATTAATAATATTAATATTAATAATTATATGTATTTATATCATATTTCGCTCAGATGTGATGACGGTAGGTACAAAGCACAACCAACACAGTTCTGAAACTATTTGATCTGGAGTGGGTATCTCTAGACTAATACCAGAACTAATACTAGAAAACAATTATGTATTACTGCTAATGAGCTTAGTAATAGTCTAAAATAGTAACATATAAAACATGTCCATGATTAACTCACAAAAAACAAATAAAAGATGAATAAAGTATCTTAACTACATTTTTAAGTAATATCGCTAAAGGCCTAAACACCTATGCAAATCACTTAATAAGTTTGAGTCGGAGTGAACTCTTATATACCTTCGCTGTTATTTTAATTACATCTTTATTTGATATTGCTAGTGTCTAAGGGTATATCCATGCCGTTCAATAGCTACATCGAACTGCTACAGTAGAAGCAACCAGAGCTATGACAATTCTTAAGTAAAGGGATATGATAGCTACAAGTATAGGGATATATCCAAACCACTTAATACCACCACTTTGTTAGAAAAAGTTTAACTCACGTGGTAAAAAAGATATAAAAACCAACAACCGGTTTGATTAAACCCACAAGATGCGTCAAGTAAGAATATTTTGACCTGAGATTTAGTTAAAATCTGGTTAAATCAACCAAATTACTTTCCCAATTATACCTTTGAGTTAACTCATAGGGCATGTGTATATTTGTTTCACCTTCGATTGATAGTCTTAAAGAGCTCTTAGATGTAAGAAATTATTAAATTTTGAGTAATATGGGATTTAAC